CAGTCCCCTCAAAGTATGCTTCTTTATTTACAAACTACTAAATATTTTATCCCAATTTTATCTTACAATGTGCCGTATATCACTTTGTTTAATTCATTTGCGTACTACTCCCTACCTAGGAATTAGCATAGTACATACCTTTAACAGGTACTTAATAGGTGGAACTAGAGAGAAAACAACATTGCTCTCAATTAGGGGGAGGAAAAAAGAACAGATAAAAAAGATATGCCTTTCTTGAAGATCATGGGGTTTTTTCCAATGGAAATTAAGAAAGAATAGAAAGCATTTACAGATAAGCAAAGGCAAGATATTGGGAGAAAATCTTATTCCTAAAAAATGTGTTAACAATCTTGACATTAATCTGTCAGAACAACATGAGAAAAAGAAAATCATTTTAAATGATTCTAGACTCTTAGCTCTACAAAATATAGAAAACATAAAAACACTAAATTAAAGCAACATGATATTGCATTAAAGATTGATATAACACTGAATCAAACACAAAGTAACATATCAAAAATAAAACAAAGACACACACACACACACACTCCTCTCCCGGTAGCACAGTCAGCTAGAATGATCTCATACAGTAAGTGAGATTCAGGTGAGGTAGAAGTATCTAATACTTTTTAGAATTATGGTAGTGTCTGTTATTCTGACAAAAGTCTAAAGTAAAAGTTATACTAAAAACAGCAGAATGCATAAGGAAAAGAACAATACATGTTTGGAAAAAATAAATTGGAACTGGAGTTTCCATATATGGGCCTACAGATCATCTCCATCCAAATTGTTCACTGTGCCTCAAATAGTAACTGGACAAGTTTTGACATTCTGAGTTTATAGTATATAAATGAGGACCACAGAAGTGGACACTCTTAGACTTCAGTAAGAAGGCATGAATTGAAGCAATGCATAAACTAGGTAAGAAGCTGGAATCCAATTTTCCATATCTGAACTCAAGTCTTGTGTTTCCAACTACTTACTTATATGAAATTCCACCTGCACATTACATAATAAGTCTAATAGAGATATCTTGTTTCTTACTATCCAATTCATTTTCAATTTCTTTCCCAGTTGCTCAAGCTACAAACTTAGAAGCCATCCTAAAGTA